AAAGGGCATTTTAGGGTAATACGAGTAAAGAATATCAAATCCATATCCACATGGAGAAGCAAAAGAGAAACAAAAATAACAATGATGATGATGATAAACACATAAGTAATTATAAACACTAATGTAGAATACCAAATCTCAACACCTATAGCTTAACTCAACATCAAACAACAAACAAACATTTCTTTTATCCATATTTTTTTTTTCTTTTTATATAACATTAATATAAACCCTTAAATCTCAATGTTAATGGACGGGTAGTCTAATTTTTGACGTGCGGCTCGCTCACGCTTGTGGGCATTTTGGTGGCCACCCAGAGCTTGAGAGCTGTAGAACTTTCTAGAACAGTAGAGGCATTGAAAGAGGTGGGTGGCAGAGGTTGGTGGAGGGGGAGGTGGCAATAGTTGTTGATGTTGGTAAGGGTGATGAGCTTGTCGTTTGGTGGGTCTTGGGTTGTCGAAGGCGAGGAAGTTGTAGATGCTAGGGTTTGCCATTTTAAAGGAATTTTCAAAGTCTCACTCTCACTTTGGTGTGGGCAGTGAGATTTCTTTAAAAACCAAAATCCTTTGTGCTCTCTTTGTTTTGTGGTCCCATTTTTTTTCTTTCTAAATTTTTAAAATTTTAAATTAGTCAAAAACATGATCCATCCCTAGTTTGAATTGAAACCATGAAGGAAGAAAAGGGACAGATCAAGGTGAGAAAAAAATGGCTACTGGTGCTAAATAAAGTGTATAAGGAGTTTAAGTTGCATGGTGATCTCCATACTTGAAAATTGTCCAACTTGTGGATTTGAGGACAAATCCCCTTTAACTCGAGGAGATTGATGTGAACCCAACTCCAATCAAATACCAGTTGTATCTTATTTTGGCTAGGTTTCATCACCCTACGAATTTGAGGACAAATTCTCTTCAACTCGAGGAGATTGATGTGACTCCAACTCCAATTGAGTCCATTAACTCTCAATCGACCCAAGAAGAAACCATGAAAAGAGGTCTTTATGGTTCTAAGGTTCATTCAACCCAAGTTAAGTCAAAGAAGAAAGATGACGACATGCCCCAACAAGCCCATGAAGAGTCCACACGCCCAAGCCCTCAATTTATTGGCCCACATGGCCCAATTTATCCATTTGGGTGTAATTTAGTCTTGTGGGAACCAAGCATTCCATTTGGGAGGGAAAACTCAATTGGTGTTCAAACATAATCACAGGGGAGCAATTAATGCAAGGAGAGCAAAGGTGGCACATGGTTTCCATTTTTGGCAAAAACAATTTATGACATTCTTGGCAACTCCATGTTCCTTTCCCCTTTGGGAAACTTTTCTTATTCGGCAAAGAAAATCTATGACATTCTTGGCGGCTCTTAATCCCTTTCCCGAAGAGGAAAGTCACATGTTCTTTGATTTCCCCTAGGATTTTATTTATAGTTTTTCTTGTTTGCCGTGTTTACATATCCCCATGTATGTCCAAACTATTTTGAATTTCAAATCTCCCTGAGCACCACATGTCTGGTCAAGATTGATCTTAGTTCCTTTTTTTTTTTTTGTGCCACATGGATCGCCTAGATTAGTTGTTGAATTAGGGCAAACTTTTTGTAAGGCTTATATAAAGGCCAACGTCTTATTGTAATGGTTAGACTTGATTAACGAAAAGAGGGAGCTCTTAAGAGAGTTTGTTTGTTCATCTTTTATCTAATCTTTGCCATAGGTTGGTGGTGGATTCCTTGGCTGGTGGATTTCCTTTAGGCTAAAATAAATAAACAAGTAAGAGAGTTACCAATCTCGTGTGGAAGGCTTCATATCTCCTATTCTCTTTGTATCCCACTTTAGAGTTCGCGTTCAATAATCATGAACTCCCAACGATCATCTTCTTCTATTTTTAATTCTAAAATTGTAAAACGCCATCTCAGCAGTCCAATTCAGTCTATAAAACTAACAAAACCATTATTATTTTTAATTATGATTATCTGATAGGCCCAACGCCCAAGCCTTCTTCAGAAAAAATAGTACATTTGATCACTACAACTTCAATAAAATATTTTACATTAAAATTGGATCAATTTTATTCTAATAAATAAAGTTAAAGAACTACACTTTTAGGGTGCGTTTGGTTAGGGATAATAGGAGATTACTGAGGTAATGATGTCATTTTATATTACTTGATTATCACGTTTGATTGTCAAGTAATGTAAGATTCTGGTAATCTTCCAATAGCAATAGTAGTTATTGTGGTAATATATGAAGTAATCTGATTACCTCCATTTTCTTAGGTGTTCCAAGATTAATTGGTAATCTTATTTTTGTAACAATTTTACCCTTTATTAATAAAATTTTAGGACAATAATGCCCTTGTTTTAAAAACAATTTATAAAAATACCAATTGACTATTTTATCCTTATAGACAAAGTTTTTAGGACATGAATACCCCTGAAATTTAAAAAAATTACGCAAAGATAGTGGCTAGATCTGGCCACCATTGCCAATTGCTGGAAACCACCGTCGGCGACGACGGAATGGCAGACCGTGCACCGATAAGGTTATAGGAAACAACCAGATCTGGGCGTGAAAGGCCAAATATTTTGCCGTGAAATGGTCGTTGTTTCACTACCAAATCTCCACTTTCGCCGCCAGCAATGGCTTGGGGTAGGTGGGGGTATTTTTGTTAAGTTTTAAACTTTTTTTGTTGCCGAGGTGTTTTAGCTAAATCTGAAATATAGGGGTTAAAAGGAATTATTCAAAAAATATTAATATATTAATATTTAAATTGGAGGGCAATTTAGTCATTTACACAACATACCCACCGATTTATTCATTTCAACCAAACATATTAATATAATATACCCACAAATTTATTCCAACCAACTAAACACATTTCCCTAAACATTCCCAGTAATCTTTAAGATAATCTATCTTTCCATTAATATAACATTCCCAGTAATATAACATTCCCTGAACCAAACACACCTTTAAAAAGATGCTACTTTCTATGTTCAGCTGCCTGCCTCTGGCCAATGGCCATCCCCTTTAGCTTTTATTACACTACTCTGACTCTCACCTAGCTTTGTCATTTTCTATGACTCTTGATCTCTGTTTTTTAATCTTAAGTCTACTTCAATTTATCATCGTTCGATGCTCCTCGATAGCCATAAAAGTTAGATCCAACGACTTAAACACCAGGAAGACCAACTCATGACAAACACAAACATGTTGCTTTTGGCTTAACTTTTCCCTTCTTTTATTGGGTAATACTAAATTCACAAACTCTTCTCTCACAAACGTGACGTGACAACTCCCAATTGGTCAGCTCGTAATGGGTCTCGCCTGACCAATTGCAAGCTGACTAATTGCGAGTTGCCACGTTGCGTTTAATTGTGAGAGAAAGTTAGTGAGAAGAGTTTGTCATCCTATCTTTCTTGTCTTTTATTTTGTTTATGCATCTTTTCAAATTTTCCTCCCTAGGAAAACAACAAGCTAAAAAAATATTATGCTGAACCATTTGGTTTGGCATCCTTTTCAACTTTTCCTTGCTAAGAAAACAATAAATTAATAAAATAATCTGCCAAACCATTTGGTTCGGCATCCTTTTCAATTTTTTTCTCCCTAAGAAAACAATAAATGAATAAAATGTTCTGCTGAACCATTTGGTTCGACATCCTTTTCAATTTTTCCTCCCCAAGAAAACAATAAATTCATAAAATATTATGCCGAACTATTTGGTTCGACATCTGACTATCTTCTTTAGTTCAATTTGTAGTCTATGCAAAGGTTGAGTTGCCGTTAATTGTGTACCGAAGCTTGAACCAACCTGCTTTCCACAACAAAAAAAGTAACAAACTTGTAGATTTTGATTTCATAGAAATAACAAACAAACTTACTGGGATAAGTAATTTGATAGTGTTAAGGGGGTAAGACACAGTAGTGCCTAAAGCCACTAAACCGACACCAGCAACAACATGACTTGCAAACAACTACTCTTGTAAAATAACCATCACCCCTTCTATCAAAAAGAATAATATATATATAGTCACATACACACATAAATCAATTATAGAACATGGAGTGGTTCTCATTGTGCTCAACTTTCAAAAATCTACTAGCTTGAATCAGAATCGAAGGAAATGAGAAGGAGAAATAAAAAGGTAAAGGGAATGTAAATGTGAAGGGTTTGTATTTATGTGAATGAGAAGTGATTAAACACATCCGCCAAACATCAATCTATATATCTTCTTCTGAATTAGCAAAGTTTTAATTAAACCTTTGGGATGCCGAATAAAGTATAATCACTATTTAATACCATATTATTATTCATACAAAGTGAGGTGGCAAAAAATGAATGGAAGAGTGAATATAATAAGTTTGAAAGAGAGAAACAAAAAGTCAAACTCATTATATTCACTCTTCCATTCATTTTTTGCCACATCACTTTGTATAGAGATATTTGTAAGATTTCTTTGTAAGTGTAATATTACTCTTATTAATATCAATAACACTACTCTTACAAAGGATTATACAAAGGAACTCTACAAAGTGACGTGGCAGGTGACATGGCAATGCCACGTCATCTGCCACATCATCACTTGCCACGTCATCAGAAAATAATTTAATCCAAAATGTATCAATCTTCTTCTCCAAGCTTCTCTTTCGCGCTCTTTCTCCATTACCGTGTTCAACTCTGCTCTTCTCCAGGTCCATCACTGTCTTCATCTTCATCTCTCTTCTCCATCGCTCTCTTCATCTTCGCGCTCTTCTCCATCTCCTCTCTTCATCTTCATCGCTCTTCACCATCTCCATCGCTGTCTTCGCGCTCTTATCTCCATCTCCATCGTTGTCTTCGCGCTCTTATCTCCAGCGAGTGTAATACCTGAAGCGAGCCATAGAACTGCTTCGAGGGGATAGGCGAGGTTGAGGTTCCCACGCGNGCAAAGGACAAATAAATCAAAGCTAATTTAGTCGTGCTACCAGGAAAAAAATTCAGTTATGATAGTGGATTTTGTTATATGCAAGTGATGAATAAATAATGATACCTTAGCAGCTCCAGTACTGCTGGGAATGATGTTGAAAGAAGCAGCTCTACCACCCCTCCAGTCCTTCATCGAAGGGCCATCAACAGTCTTTTGAGTGGCTGGATAATATGGAGACACAAATTCATCAGTGTCCAGGTTTACTTTTTTTATTTCGTAGCTACACAAAACCTGAAAAAATTATAGAACTGTATGAAGCAAATAAAAAAGAATTGAATGAAAATATACCTTAGCCAATGGAGCAAGACAATTGGTAGTGCAACTAGCATTGGAAACAATATCAACGTCTTTCTTATATTCGTTGGCATTCAAGCCCATAACAATCATGGGAGCATCTTTACTTGGTGCAGAAATAACAACCTTCTTTGCACCACCCTGTGAAACAATCAATAGAGCCAACTAAAATAACCAGCAGAATTGTAATATAGACATGGTTATAAACATAAAACAAGTAGAATTCACTGTAACATAGAGACGTTTAAGGGTATACATATTTCAAATTCCAGATATAATTTCCTAGAATTCGAAGCAAACTAAAGAAAGAACACCATCAGAAACAATATCGGATAGGCACCATACTGTGCAAGAGCAAATGTTTTTACACGATTAACCACATTCAATAAAAATGCAATGCTAATTCCACAATTCTAATAAAACTGCTTTGCAGTACGTAGCTGCCATAAAATAAAAAACAAGAAAAGAAGAGCTTCTGTAATTAAAAAATCTATCAAATTCTGATATCAGATGTAACAGAAACAAACGATATCATAGATAGTTGACAAAACAAAAAGAACAGGTGAGCAATATAATATAAAACCTTCAAGTGAGCAGCAGCTTTGTCCTTGTCAGTAAAAACTCCAGTGGACTCTATAACGTATTCAGCTCCAGTCTCACCCCATGGGATCTCCTCAGGATTCCTAATTTATCATTGTAGAACAAATTAAGTAACAATTTCTGTATCATGATTTATAAGTGTTTGATCGTAAAGAATAAAATGCAGAATGATGGACGACGATATTATTAATACCTGACACCAAAAACAGTGACGGGTTTATCTCCAAAAAGCAAAGTCTTTGAGTCCTTGACCTTGAGTTCGTGTTTATTCCATTGCCCATGAACACTGTCATACTTGAACATGTACGTCTACATCTCCCAATTAAATCATCGTCAGCACATTGTATTCAATTGCCCATGAACACTGTCATACTTGAACATGTACGTCTACATCTCCCAATTAAATCATCGTCAGCACATTGTATTCAATTTTATTAGAGGCTTCAAATCATCTCATCTTCTTATTGTGTGTGTGTGTGTGTATATAAATATACACGTTGGAGCAACATTTTATTATACATAGATTATAACAGTAAAAGCCCGTACCATGTAGTCGGTTGTAATGAAAGGATCATTGACAGCGACAAGCTCAACGTCGTCTCTTTCCAAAGCAACTCTCGCCACCAAACGTCCGATTCTTCCGAATCCTTCATCAAAAAAGAAAAACAAAAATCAACGAAAAAAGATAAAACAGAACATCTGAACGTGTAAACTTGTAGAATTAAATAACGTGAACATATTAAGAGAATTGAGAAGACTAAATGTATACCGTTAATCCCAATCTCGATCTTGGCCATGATGAGATACAGTTATAATGCCGAAACAGAGAGTGATACGAAGAGAATATTGAAAAGTTATTTGGTTTATACAGGGAAGAGAGTGGAAGGGTAAAATGGGAAAGTAGCGGATTAGTCAAGATCGGATGTTCCGAGACCACGAGAAGGATGAGCTTTTCGGAGGAAATAATGTCATAGATAAATGATGGTCCACATAATCACCGTTGATCTCGAGAAACGTGCTTTGTCACGTGATTAGAGTTTATAGTTGTGGTTCCAGGGTATCAGCTGTTTGGAATCGGTAAAAACATGGGTCTTAAAATGCTGAGTTAGTTCTAGAGTTACCGTTGGTGATTTTCTGACACGTGTGGATTCCTTATCGGTCGGTGGTGGCAATTAGATGGGCCCATAGTAGTTAGATAAAGTAGGTAGGGCAGTTGTTATGAGTGAATCTTCGCGCGGTAATTTTTAGTTTTTATTTTCAAGGAATAAAATTAGAGAATTTGATATTTCTGACGTTAATGCAAACATTTTCTTTTAAATTTTGAAATTTTTAGTGTTCTTCCAGTTTTTCAAATGATATTAAAAAATCATATTTTCATACAATATCTTAATTGAACTATATAAATAATAATTAATTTAATGTAATTTGACGGTACACATATCAAAACTCCAATACTAAAGTAAAACAAGAATTCAGATACAAGTAAATACAAGGATTAATAATTAGTAAGTATTTTAAGAGAGAAATGTAATAAAAATCAAAATCTGAAAGCCAACATAAACCAATATCAAATCATTGGATCATAAAAGTTAAACTAGTGACACAGGCCAAAATTCGGAGACTTACTGTCTCGCAGCAAAAGGATCAAAATCAAGTTCTTTACTTCTTTATCAATAATTCAGATACAAGTAACAATAACACTACTCTTACAAAGGCAATTACAAAGTGCTGTGGCAATGCCACATCATCTAACACATCATCACTTGCCGCATCATCATTAAATATTTTATCATTTCAATATTTCAATCTTCTTCTCCTCGCTTTCTCTTTCACGCTCTTCTCCATCACCGTTTTTGGCACTGCTCTGTTAACTGCTCTTCTCTATCTCCATCACTCTCTCCATCTCCATCGCTCTTCTCCATCTCCATCACTGTCTTCATCTTTGCGCTCTTCTCCGTCTCCTCTCTTTATCTTCATCGCTCTTCTCCATCTCCATCACTGTCTTCATCTTTGCGCTCTTCTGCTATCTACTCTTATCCATCTCCTCTCTTCATCTTCATCGCTCTTCTCCATCTCCATCGCTCTCTTCATCTTCGCGCTCTTCTCCATCGCCTTGTTCTCTAGAAGCTGCTGAGAGGTAATCTTCATTTTCCTTCAATAAAATGTTTTGGACGTTTTCTGGTTTGGAGCTAACTTATTTCTTAATCCTACCTACTCAGAGGTTGGAACTTGGACGTTGATATGGAGAAAGATTCTTTGTTGCATAAGGATGGTAAGTGGTCTTTTGCCCTTGGTTGAAATAGCATTTGATTTAGACCTAAGGCAATGATGTGCCATTATTTGGAATAATGTAGCTGTGCAAGATATTCTAGTCTATTAATGCGGTCTGAAAATGATTTCTGCATTGGGAAATATGAAGTTATTTACCTCTCAATGACTCGAATCATTTACCATGACTGTTTGATCAATAAGTGGATTTATGCCTCTAGTTCTATGTTTACTGGTTGTGTTACAGGGTCCCATTGGAAAGTTGAGGAGCATTCAAGTAAAGTGGTATGTAACCAAGAAACGGTCTCCATTTTCCGTCATGATTCTGCAGTTTTGGTTCATTACAGATTCCTGGAAGACCTTTAGGTACAAGATAAGTTGCTTTCAGTTGTATTCTAGTTGTTTGGTGAGATCTGTTGTATCTCAATGTGATTATTAAAGTTAAAAGTGAATTTCACTATGTGCCTACATAGAGAAGTCAAAATGCAAATATGTAATTTGGATTTTGGGCCTTGCTATGAGTATGAAACATTAGCTCATTTATTACATTGTTTTTGGTCTTTATGTTTCCTTTTTTCAGGTCTTTTGTAATTTAGCTACATCTACTTTGATTAAAAGAAATGTCAGTTTACATTAGATGGCTTAATTATGTGGTTTTTGCAACGGTAAGTGTATTGGTTGAACTTGAATGTGGTCTATTAATTGGTATTGAAATAAGATTTTTCCAACATTTTCCACCAAGTCGTTGGTCCATTTTTGTTCAAAGGTGTAAAGAGTCTGTGAGTATACAGATATTTTATATTATTTATTGATTTTTAATATAGTTTTAAATTATAAACATTATATTCCCTTCATGGGTGAATAATGAATTCCTGTTCATAAAAGTTAATGTTAAGATCAATGAAATACTCATTTAACCTTATAGTTAAAATTTACAAAAGTTAAAAGTCATTTAATATATTTATTAACAACATAAACTTGTAAGCCATGAATCAATTTTAAACATCTGAAAATGTGGTGGTGCAACGATGTTTAAAGTGGTGGTAGTGGGTAGAATGTTTTAGAAACTGAAATTGCTTTTGCTTTAGGAATTGAGTTGAATGTGGTTTTGCTCTAGAAGATCAATGAAGTACTAATATTATTATTTTTTAATTGAATTAATGAATCATATTTATAACATAGAATATTTGTTTTTTTGTATTTTATTTAGGGTAATCTGTTAACATCATAGTACCAAAGATGGAAGAATGTAGTAAAACTAAATCAGAGAACTCTTCTTCTCAATTCAATGCTATTGAGGTAATTTTCTTTGTAATCTCTTTTTATTGATTAATATAATAATTTTTTTATGGTATTATTTCTACGTTTTTGTTAAGTATTATTATATTCTAATTCTGGCTATTATAATATCTAATTAGGAAGAAATAGAAGATGCAAGAAATGTAGAAGAGGAATTGGAGCTTAAGCCTGGAATGAATTTTGATTCATTTGATAGACTTTTCCAATACTATAGAAGCTATAGGAATAAAATGGGTTTTGAAGCTATTATAAGATCTTCAAACAAAGGAGATGATGGAAAGTTGAAATACGCAACACTTTCTTGTGCTTGTAGTGGGAAGTCAACATGTATCTCTAGAAATGCCTTTAAAATGCATCCGGTGATGAAAACTGATTGTAAGGCCCGGATTGGTGCAGCTTTACGTTCTGATGGAAGTTGGCAAATATGTTCAGTTGTCCTTGATCATAACTATGAACTCAACAGTCCTAGCAAAACTAGATTTTTCAAGGCCAATCGAATAATAAAACCATACATCAAAAGGAAACTCGAAGTAAACGATAGGGTTGATATTAGACCTAATAAAAATTTCAATTCCTTTGTAGTAGAAGCTAGTGGTCTTGAGAATTTGTCTTTTCTACAGAAAGATTGTAGAAACTACATTAAAAAAGTTAAGAGGCTACGACTTGATTTTGGAAATGCTTCTACAATTCAAAAATATTTTTTGAAAATGCAAAATGAGAATTCAAATTTCTTCTACATAATGGATTTAGATGAAGAGGGTCGATTAAAGAATGTTCTATGGGTGGATGCAAGAAGTAGGACTGCATTTAAAGAATTCGGTGACGTTGTGACATTCGACACTACATATTTGACCAATAAGTATGATATGTCGTTTGCGGCTTTTGTTGATGTTGATCATCATGGATATTCAACATTGTTTAGTTGTGAGTTAATCTCTAACGAAGACACAAAGACATTTGTATGGCTTTTTCAATCTTGGCTTGCATGTATGATGAATTGTGTTCCAAAGGCAATAATCACTGATCAAGATAAGGCAATGTAAAATGCAATTGAGATTGTGTTCCCGGGTACATGACATAGATGGTGTTTGTGGCATATAATGAAGAAATTACCTGAAAAGTTAAAAGGTTATACCCAATATGATTCTATTAAGTTTTCTTTAAAAAATGCAGTGTATGATTCATTGACACATGGGGAGTTTGAAGAACACTGGAATAGGTCCATTGAAGAACACAACCTTTAGGCCAATGAATAGTTACTTGGATTGTATAATAAAAGACGACGTTGGGTGCCAGCATTTGTAAAATATACTTTCTAGGCAGGTATGTCTACCACTCAATGTAGTAAAAATATGCATGCATTTTTTGATGGATATGTTAATTCAAAAACCACCTTAAAATAGTTTGTGGAACAGTATGAGAATGCATTGCATGATAAAGTGGAGAAAGAAACGGAGGCTAATTTTAAATCTTTCAAATCATGGATCCCTTGCATAAGCAGTTATGGTATTGAGAAACAATTTCAAGATGCATATACCATTGCGAAATTCAAAGAGTTTCAACAAGAGCTTACTGCTAAGCTCTATTGTGAAATATCTTCTTTCAAAGAGAATGATTCCTACATGGAATTTATAATAAAAGAAGATGTTAGGGTTGGAGAGACTTATCGTCGTGTCCCTTTTGTGATATGTTTTAACGAAGCAACTTGTGATGTTCGTTGCAATTGTCAATTGTTTGAGTTTAAAGGAATCTTATGTCGACATGCAATTGTGATGTTGATTCACAAGGAAATTTCTCATGTACCAGAAAAGTACATTTTAAGGCGATGGAGGAAAAATATAAACACATGTCACACCAGGGTTAAAATAAGTTATAATAATTGGAGCATCAATCTTGAAAGACAACGATTTGATCACTTGTCTAATTTATTTTCTACTGTAGCAGACTTAGCATCAAACAGTAAGGATGATTGTAATATGGTGATAAAAGTGATCAATGATCTTAAGAAAAAATTGATGTCGAATGAAGGTGTTGGCAAGAATGGTAAAAGAGAAAACATGTCAGCTAATAGTAGAATGAATTGTGAAAGTGTTGATGATACTTCCAAAGAAGGGAATTGTAATATTCTTAGTCCACGGGCTGTTCGTAGCAAAGGTCATCCTCCATTAGAAAGAAAGCAGTTGAAGGTTGAACAAATTCTTTGCAAAATAAAAAAGAAGAAATTGCAAAAATAGGAAAAGGATAAAAAAGTTGAAAGTAAAAATTTAGTAATTATCAATTTTGTTGATTATTTTCTTATTTTTATTCTATTTATTGATAGATAACATGACTTTTGTTATATAATTGCACCATTGTTGGATACCGAAGCTTGTGAGATTTCAGTACGTGATTAGTGTCCTTTGATATCTATTTTTGCTGCAGCTTGAATACTGCACCTTTTTTGCTGTATGTGCAGTGTTTTGTAAAGAAGTTTGGTTTTGGGAGAATTTTATGGATTTATAGCTTGTAAGCTGCATTTTTTGTTTCTATTGTGTTTGTGTGCTATTGTGAAGCTCGGGCCTGTTATATGTGGTTATAGTTGGCTCAATTCTGTATAGGTTTTCAGGGGAGGTTTTGGGACTGTTGCAACGTAGTAGCAGTTGTAGCATACTAAAGGGGTCTGGAGATGCAACACCTCTGTGTTTTTGTTTGTGTGACTGCAGGGATATTTGGTACTAGTGATGAGGCTCTTCCAGGGGAGGTTGGTTTTTTGCAGTTCTCTCTGTTATTGCAGCTTGGTTGCTACATTTTCTATAGTGTTTTGCATGTCTTTATGGTGTGATCCTTGCCACTTATCATAGTGGTGGTCTTACTAGTTGTGTGAGAGGGATTAGTAAAGAATGAATAATATTCACAAGTAGTCAGATTAATTATTTATTGATTGTCAGAATAGTTAGCATTAATTGGATGACACTCACATGAATAATTTCCCACAGCAGTTACATATATCAGTTTAAGGCACTTCTTCTGGAACTGCATATTAGCATTTCCTTTGGTCCTAAACTTGCATGTCACTGTTGACAATTTCATTCATCTTCTTTCTAACAAGATTAGGATTCTTTTGCATTACTATTCTTATTCATATTTTACGAAACTCTAATGCTTAAGTTTCAGTTGTCTTCTTGTCTTACAAGTATATTGGCAGCCTGGTTGGTGACTTCTATCGGACCCTTCTCTATGGCGACATTTACGGGTACCCCAGAGACAAGAAGAGCAAGAATGAGAAGCTGAGGCTCTTGTATGAGTGTGCACCGATGAGCTTCATTGTGGAACAAGCTGGAGGAAAAAGATCAGACGACTATCAAAGAGTACTTGACATTCAACCAACTGAGGTGAGGACATTCTTATGAGTTTATGCACTTTTCTTGCTAAACTTAGGTACTAAGATGCTTTGGTTGTTTCCTTTCAATAGATACATTAGCGTGTTCCGCTCTACATTGGAAGTCGAGAGGAAGTGGAGAAATTGGAGAAATATTTAGCTTAACCGAAATGTAAAACAAAGAGTAATTTTGTTCATGAAGATAATTCTTTAATGGAAGTTTCTCAAGAAATACGCTAAATTGAAATTAAAAGAGAAGCAATTACTTTCCTTTACCTGTATGAATTACTTTTGTTTCGGGGCAAAATATTGCCAGGTCTACATGGGACTTCAGCTGTGTGTAAGATTCAATCTAGAAATTGGATCAAATCTTTAGAGGAAACAGATTATCAGAAATGGAAACGCATAATGATAAAGTAAAACATCTTTAGAGAGGTTAATTGTCTTCTTTTCATGTGGGAGAGAAGTGAAATTTCTTAGCCATTCTTCATGGTGATCAATCACACAATTTATGAAACTTGTATCAAACCAATGCCATAATTAGAACCTGTGCCTAGGGCTGGTTAACAAACCGAGCCGCTCGCGAGTCAGCTCGGCTCGACTCGAGTTTGGCTCATTAACGGCTCAACTCAGTTCGTGAGAGAGAATGATCCGAGTTCGAGCCTACCTCAGCTTGGCTCGTCAGGCTCACGAGTCGAGCCTGGCTCGAATAAGTGAGGGGTTTTGGGGGGTTTACTGAATATGAGGGATTACACTAAAATTTTTAAAACAAAAAGTTTTCAAAAATGACAAAGACCCACTGATTTTAAAATCCCTAAAATCGTTGACATGAACTATTTGCCTTAAAATCAAACCAATTCCAAAAATTGTCAACACATTTTCAAGCCGTCTCCGGTGTACCCTGTCGTCGTCGTCAATACCATCTGCTTCGCTAGAGTGTTTGTTGCAGACTCGCCGCCGTCAAACCCATCTACCCTTCCAACTCTCGTTGTCACTGAAATCTACTTGTTTTCCTTTTCTGTCCTCGCTGTAAAACCCAGCTGCTCTGTTGTCGACCATCGTCTTGTTCGCAATAAGTTTGATTGTTTTGAATCTTGTTGAGTTGTTGTTATTTATGTATGATTGATTTTTGTGAAACCCATTAGCTTCTCATGATTTTTGTGAACTATCTTTTATAACAGGTGGTTTTTTCCTGTGAAAGTGATTGTGTATTGATTGTGTTGTTGTCGTTGACCGACGTGGTGTCGCTGTCTTTTCTTCTTTAACTTGTGTGATACTTTTAGGCATCATTGGCATTGAAGATTCAGATCGAAGATATGCAAAGTGCCAAAGTCAGATGAAAAACATTAGTTTGTGTAAAACAATGTAAAAGTCAAAAAGATGAAGATTCAGATCGAAGATATGCAAAGTGCCAAAGTCAGATGAAAAACATTGGTTTGTGTAAAACAATGTAAAAGTCAAAAAGATGTGATAAGGATGTCAGTTACTTTATTAACTTTACAATGAAAATATATTGTTTTATTACCTTTTCCAATACTTGATTACTAACAGTATTAAAAGGGCTTATGCCAAAAAAAAAATTGAATTTTCTGGACCAGCTCGTGAGCCAGCTCGAAATTGACTCGCACATCGACTCAAAATACTTTTAAATTCATTACGAGCTAAGCCGAGCCATAAAATCTACAGCTCAACTCGGCTCAAACTCGGCTCGTTTCTTTATCCTATTTCATGAGCTAACTCGTTAAGCCAAAAATTCAGCTCGTGAACACCCCTAACTGTGCCATAAATAGCCGTGAGATATTTACTTTTTTGGTAGATGCACCATAAACCAATTTTAATTGGAAGCCTGGATAAATAAATAACAAAGATTTTATGCAAGAAGTTTCTACTTCATTATCAAATGTTATTAGTAACCTTCATCAGAAATTTACAATCACCACTAAATCAATATAGGCAGAATACAAGTGGACAAAGATAAGTATTTGATTAGCAAGCTGAAGGGTACTTTGCTTTGCCCAATCTTTCAACTAAAATTATGTGGGAATACTAAAGAGATGTTAAGTAACGTGTAACAAAGAATTAAGATCACAGTCCAGCATCTTTGATGTAAGTACTGTATTGGTACCGTGTCAGCAATAAGTCATCTTAATCTTCAAAAAGAATTAGTTTCTTGCTGAAAAAAATTTCTAATCCAAAGAACTCCTGCGACCTTTTGCTGCATTTCATAAGCAAAACATCAATTTTAGAACTCCAAACTAAATTTTGGTATGCAGAACAATGAAAATACAAGTTTATCCCCAGTATTGAAAAGAGAGGAAAGCAAAACTTAAAAGTAAGGAGCAATAAATTACCAGGACTTAAAATTCTTATGCATTTTGTTATTGATTTTAATACAGTTAGGGTTTCAGAGCCTGCAAAATGAAAATTTACAAGATAAATACATAACTTGAAATGATTAAAATCAAATCAAATAGGTAAGTCTAAATCACCTTCAACATTCATGTCTTTTCCTGAAAGAACTTCTGTCAGTGTAGATGAATATTCTGACACAACTTGATCAGCCTCCAGATTGGCATCCCCAGATTCATGAGATGACCTGCATATTATGTGAAGTATAACATATCTGGTGAAGTGTATAGTGGTGTATAAAATAGTGGAGAATACTAAGACATTAAATAATCAACATGACAAAGGGAACAAATACCCTGAAATATTGTCCACAGAAGCACAAGTATCCACAGTTGGCTGGCAAGGATAACCAATTCCTTCGCAGTCGAGATCAAAATGAACTAGCAGCTCGGAGAAAGAAAAATTTCGTCCAAAGGCATCTAAATTAGACAAATCCATGTCAAAAATGCCAGCTTCCTTTTCAGATTCAGATGTCGAAATTTCATTAGTAATTGGTTTATCCACGTTCACTACAATTCCACCTCAAATATTTCCCACCTAACCACCTCAGACGAGCCATCCTTCTTAGTCTCGTTCTTCTCTGTCTCCAACTCCATTTCCATTGCTTCTTCACTGCTCAAAACCACTTCACCCATTCGCATAGCAGCCAATCAGGAAAACAGCCAACAACAACCAAAACACTACACCAAGTATGAACAGTCACAACAACAACCAAAACAAGCAATAACCCAAAAAAACAGCAAGAACATAGCAGCCAATCAGGAAAACAGAAAATATCATATATTGATACCATTTACAATATACATAGTAGATCCCGACAAACATAGATGATGCCATTTAAAAAACAGTGTCAAATGGTAACAGTATCATGCAATTCATTAAGATGCAACGAAAAAAAAATTAAGAGCATCGATTGAGAAAAAAATTAGTATCAAGGTCAACATAAACTCAATTGCAAGAGGACTTGGGATCTGTTGTAAGAGACTCACACAGCTCCGGCGAAGAGCTATGGCAAAGGTGGCGACAAAATTTTGTAAAATCCATAGCGGTCACTCTATTCACTTCTTTATTTTGAGATTTTATAAGCTATGAAATGACAGGGCTGGACTTTCTATGATTTCAGTGGTTAGGGTTAGGGTTTGGTTTGTCAACGGGGAGAAGAGTGCGAAAGAGCGCGATGGAGATGAAGAGAGTGATGGAGATGAAGAGCTGATAGGAAAACTGACCGAATGAGATGAAGAGCTGATAGGAGAACAGAGCAACGGAGAAGAGAGATGGAGATGAAGAGAGCGATGGAGAACCAAAGACGAGAGCGAAAGAGAAAGCGATGGAAAAGAAGATTGAAAAATTGAAATATTGAAATGATAAAGTAAATAAAAAAAAATAGAGAAGAAGTAATAAAAAATAAATATTTAATGATGATGTGGCAAGTGATGACATGTTAGATGATGTGGCATTGCACGTCACCTACCACGTCACTTTGTAATGCCTTCTTTGTTTTTGGCTTTGTAAGAGTAGTGCAAGGATCTCATAATACAAGACAGTTCAAGTACCACAAAACAAAATGATTTATGGTAAGTTGAGCACCTTTGAACAATATTTGTAAATTGCATAAAAAAATTTAAAACAAAAAGTCTAACGAGAACTATAAATAAGGTCTAAACAAAGACGTAAAAAAAAGTTGGATCCGCTGCAATCAGGTGGCGAAGATAATCAGTGATGGACAATCATCGTACTCGTTCATTTGCAGTTCTTGGTTCCACTGGTTTGCAGCCAGTAGTTTCTCGATAATACTCTTCATGCAGGGACACTCATCCCACATTTCTAATAAGCAAAGCAAGGTCTTCCTTCTTCGGCTACCTTGCAAAGCTTTGGATCTAGAGATACCTTACCGAGGAAAGGTACAGCCATCTCCATGCACATTTTTGAAGTAACCCACAAAATGAAAAAAGAAAAAGGATAATTACCGTTTCGGGATTCCCAAGATTTTGACGTAGGGTTTATGAACCAAAGCAACGAAAATAGAACCGAGCAGCAAGTGTGTCGGGTTCCACTCGGATCTTTTTTAGGCCCAAAATTTCTTTTAGGGTCCAGAACTTATGAACTCTTTATATTTATTATTATTTTTTAAAAGTTTATTTTAAGATATCTTCATTTTTATCTTTAATTTAAATATATAACTTTAAATTAATCTTAGTCAGTCAAAAATCGTTTCTCATAATAATTGTGAGAGGGAACTTACTCGCTATTTTTATTTTAATTGAATTATAGAATTATAAATTAATTTGTAAAAATAGTATTTAGTTCAGTAATTGATTTATTTGAGAAATAAAAGCATTTTATAAATTAGAAAAATACTTAAATGTATTACTTGGAGAAGAAGCAGTTAACACTATGGAAGAGCAAATGTTTTACACGATTAACCACGTTCAATAAAAGCAATGCTAATTCCACAATTAATAAAACTGCTTTGCAGAACGTAGCTGCCATAAAATAAAAGACAAGAAAAAGAGAGCTGTAATTAAAAAATCTATCAAATTCGATATCAGATGTAACAGAAGCAACGATATCATAGTTAGATAATAGACAAAACAAAAGAACAGGTGAGCAATATAATATAAAACCTTAAGTGAGCAGCAACTTGTCCTTGTCAGTAAAAACTCTAGTGGAGTCTATAACGTATTCAGCTCCAGTCTACCCCATGGGATCTCCTCAGGATCTAATTTTCATTGTATAACAAATTAAGTAACAATTTCTGTATCATGATTTATAAGTGTTTGATCGTAAAGAATAAAATGCAGAATGATGGACGACGATATTATTAATACTGACACCAAAAACAGTGACGGGTTTATCTCCAAAAAGCAAAGTCTTTGAGTCCTTGACTTGAGTTCGTGTTTATTCCATTGCCCAGAAAAGCCATAACTTGAACATGTACGTCTACATCTCCCAATTAAATCATCGTCAGCACATTGTATTCAATTTTATTAGAGGCTTCAAATCATTATCATTTCTTATTGTGTTGTGTGTGTGTATATAAATATACACGTTGGAGCAACATTTATTATACATAGATTATAACAGTAAAAGCCCGTACCATGTAGTCGGTTGTAATGAAAGGATCATTGACAGCGACAAGCTCAACGTCGTCTCTTTCCAAAGCAACTCTCGCACCAAACGTCCGATTCTTCCGAATCCTTCATCAAAAAAGAAAAACAAAAATCAACGAAAAAAGATAAAACAGAACATCTGAACGTGTAAACTTGTAGAATTAAATAACGTGAACATATTAGAGAATTGAGAAGACTAAATGTATACCGTTAATCCCAATCTTGATCTTGGCCATGATGGATACAGTTATATGCCGAAGCACAGAGTGATACGAAGAGAATATTGAAAGTTATTTGTGTTTACAGGGAAGAGAGGGAAGGGTAAAATGGGAAAGTAGCAGATTAGTCAAGATCGGATGTTCCGAGACCACGAGAAGGATGAGCTTTTCGGAGGAAATAATATCATAGATAAATGATGGTCCACATAATCACGTTGATTTCGAGAAACGTGCTTTGTCACATGATTAGAGTTTATAGTTGTGGTTTTGAGTAGGGGTGAGCACGGGTAACGGGTAGAACCGGAAACGGGGTAAGAACCGGAACTGGAACCGGAATCTACCCAGAACCTGCACTGTGCGGTAGGTTCTGGTTCCAATTTTTGGAACCGTACTGTGCGGTTCCGGTTCCGATTCTTACCCCCGGAGGAACGGAACCGGAACCTGTAAAAAGGGTACGTTTGGAACCTGTAAGGGGTACTGTTTGGAACCTGTTTGGAAACTGTTTTGGAACCTGTTTGGAACTGTTTTTGAACCTGTTTGGAACCTGTTTTGGAATGTTTTGAACTTGTTTTGGAACCTGTTTGGAACCTATATTGGAACCTATTTTGGAACTGTTTAGGACCTATTTTGGAACCTGGACTATAATGAAATATTTGTGAAATGTAAATAATGGGGAGTCTATTATTTTACCTATAAAAAAATTTAAAATAGAAAAAGTTAAATTTTTAGAATAACCTAATAAATAAATACGAATACAATTATACTTATTACATATAAATACACCATATTAAAAGCTTTAATATATATAATACATTAATATTAAAGTTTTGATCAGTTAAGTGAATAATTGGAATTATGATCCATTAAAAGTTTTTACAATTTATGTTATTAAAAGAATTATTTTTGAATAAAATAGTATATTGATTGAGTAATATTTAGTTATTTACTTCAATTATCAAGTTCTAAGTATATCTATAATAAATTAGTAATTAATTAATTATATATGATAAATTGATAAACATAATAAATATTACTAGTTAAATATCATACTTAATCAATATAACATTACATTATAGTTAAATGATTACTTAATTAATTATAATTTTATAACATTACTTAATTGATTTATAATAAATTAATATAGCATTATAATTGATTACTACTTAATTAATTGACTTTATTATAAACATTAGTACAAACTTAATTAAAGATTAAAAATTTAATTAATTATAATATACATTAAAAATTTATGTTGATTATTTAATAGTTAATTCACTATAACATTCATTATAGTATGATATATAATAATTATAAAATTACATAATTAAATAATTACTTAATTGATTATGAGTTATGATATTATGTTTTAAACATTAGTAATTACTAATTTGCTACATAAACATTAGCACAATACTTAATTGAATGATAAGAAATTTAATTAATTATAACATTACCTATAAACATTTCATTATAAACATTAATTAAACATTACATTATAGTAAATATTACTCAATTAAATTATAATATTATTATATTACATTATATATATGATCACTTACTTAATTATAGCATTACATAGTTAAATGATTACATTATTACTAATTAGTTATGAATTTATAACATTACATTATAAACATTAGTAATTTACTAATTTCTATATTATTACATTACTAATTAAACGATTAAAAATTTAATTAATTATAACATTACCTTAATATTTTAATATAATACTTAATCAATTATAACATTTATTATAAAACATTAGTATATTAATCAAATGATTGAAATTTAATATTATAATATTAAATTATAGATTATAGTATGATATTTATTCATTATAACATTACATTATACTATTATAGTATGACATATAAGTAATTAACATTACATAATTAAATAATTACTTGATTGATTATGAGTTATGAATTATATTTTAAAATTAGTAATTACTAATTTACTATATAAACATGCACAATACTTAATTGAATGATAAGAAATTTAATTATTATAACATTATCTTATAAACATTTCATATAAATATTAATTAAGCATTACATTATAGTTAAATAATTACTCATAATTATAATATTATAATATTACATTATATTATGATTACTACTTAATTATGATTATAGTTAATGATTACATAATTACTTAATTAGTTATGAATTTATAACATTACATTATAAACATAGTAATTACTATACTATTACATTACTTAATTAAACGATTAAAAATTTAATTAATTATAACATTACTTATATATTTGTAATATGATTACTTAATCAATTTACATCCATTATAACATTAGTATATTAATTAAATGATTTGAAATTTAATAATTATAATATTAAATTAAGATTGTAGTATGATTACTTAATTATTAACATTACATTATAATATTTATAGTATGATCATAAATTAATATAACTTACATAATTAATAATTACTTAATTGATATGAGTTATGATATTTATTTAAACATTAGTAATTACTATTACTACATAAACATTAGCACAATACTTAATTAAATGATAAGAAATTTAATTATTATAACATACCTTAT